TGCAGCGAAATGATGAGCATTCTTTGTCATGTGTCATTTCACAATATCCCACTTTATTTGAATGTCTGAAGAAAACCAGACACAAGTTTTTCTATATAATGACGATGATGACGAAGCTTATTGACATGATGACATTGAGCAATCAAAAGTCTTAGCATGGTCACGGCTGATAACCATTTTTTTATTCTTCAGAAAATAATTACTTTAAGAAAAAAAGTAGAACACCTAATAATCTTAGGGGACAATAACAGAAATTAAGAAAATGTCAGTAAAACAACAGTCGATTCAAGATGTACAAAATAAACGAAAAAGTAATCAATAAAGGAAAACGATGAACCTGTTCGTTTTTATCTTTTAGTCTGAATATGTTAGGTTTCTACGTTTTTATCAATATATGTTTAATTTTTGACGATTAAAGAAAATCGTATTGATTTCCTCACCCTTTTTCTGTATCCAAGATAGTATACTACTCTCATTTAATTTATTATAATTAAGAAAGTGGGGTGATTAGCTAGTTGTTCAGTCATTAAGTAGTCACTATGATAACAAACCAACCAACTTTTGATTAAATTGTCAATGTTAATTAAAACAAAAGGGATTTGATAAAAAAAATCTTCCCAATAAAATCTGTCTTGAAGTGTGAAAGTTACAGCTTTCCTTACTAATTGTTTCTTCTCACTGAAATAAATACGAATTTATTGAGTTTTGAAGTTGATATTACTACAATGAGAAATTTTGTATAAAACATGTATTGATAAGGCATGAACAGTCACTGACAGGTTAGTAACTAATTTTGTTATGTAGCTCTCAGCAGTAACTGAAATCCATGAAATAAGATTTTCAATGGGGCCAATTGGCTAAATGTTTCCATATTAAGACTAAGCATAAACCACAGGACCCACTTGTGCAACTTTCCACTTGGCTGAATATCCAAAATCTTATTTTCTGTGTTGTATTCTGGCTTTGACCTTAAGATTAACAGTAATTAACTTTACAGTCAAAAATAGATATTGAGCAACACAGGCAGTTTGGTGGCCAAATCTAATAAAAGAACGGCACATTGGTCAGCAGATAATAACCAACACTAAAAACCATTGAATTACTAGACTTCTAAACTTCAAGTAAAGTGGTTTGTTTAAGCTTTGAACTACCAAAACGTTTACACTGAAAACATTTCATCAGATTGCTTACTTTTCGTTTGTTTTAATCTTTTCAATATGCCTTCCAAGCTTATTATGTACTCTAGTACATTTTTAAAATATTTTCAACCAATCTTTTTCAAAGTTAACAACAACTTAAAGAAAAACGTCATGCTGGATGGAAATGAACTTTAAAATGCACAAAAATACATCACATTACAATTCCTAAGATACCTAGCTGAAATTGTGGATTTTTGTACTAGCTGAATGAATCATCACTACCACTACCAAACTTGCGCTCAACTTTCTATTCATCCCCTACTGAAGAATAGACGCTATTGTAATATCAGTTTCCTCTGGTAGTGTTATTATTAACGTCTCCCAGATACAATAATCACTTTATTTGAAAATAATGTACGAGGAGTGATTTTGAAATGCTGCATGCTAAGAATCCTAGACTGCATCAAACATGTTGGTTGCAATAAAGCGACCATTGTTATTATTGATAATGTTTGATCAACTTACCAAATCTTCAACACATAATGCAAACCAAAAGTTTGTTTTGTGCTGAATATTAGTTCTGGTATTATACATCTGTATCAGTTTATTTGGTCTTAACATGACTGTTATGGAATGTAAGTAAGCACACTTTATTGTTTAAAAACAGCTGAAATGAAATTCCAGTGAATGGTCACTAGAAACTACTTAATTGGTCACAGTCGAATTTTGTTAGCATGTTTTACAATGCTCCAGAAACATCAAACACCTCAATATTCCATTGTAATTTATTTATTTTTCTATTATGGCAGGAAGTTAGAAGAAAGCCATGAACATTTGATGGTTGGTATTTTTCATGAGTGAGTGGAAATTTCTATCTTCCCAGAAATTGAAATCCACATCACTTAGCATTGAGACTCAAAACAAAATCTACTGCATAAGGAACTAAATGTTACAAGTGTCGGTTAAATAACGACAAACATATATTGTTAGCTTTGGATATCATGTGATAAGTGAATGATGGTGATTAGGTTTGGCACTGAATAATTCTATCAGAAACTAAGTGAATATACTATTTGGAGCATTATTCCCGTATCTTGAAAATCTTTATGCACAAGAATAACGAAATCTCGAGGATGAAGTAAGGAATTTGTACAGACTGTATGCTGACAACTAATCACCTGCTGAATCTTTCAACAAATATTTCTACAATACTTTGGAAAATGAGATACATGTAACTGTTAGAACATACCTCAAAACTGAGTGTTAACCATTCTATTTAGTGATTTCTGATAAATCTGTAGACAATTCTTTATTGTAAACAAGTATGTTCTAAAAGTCGGTCTCTATCTTAGACAATCATGATTACTTTAAGGAAAGTACTCAACATTTCATGGATTCCTGGTGGGAATCGTTGTCTTCATTCACACGGATTGAGTTGGAACCATTTTCAATGTCAGATAGCTTGATTTATATGGTGAAATAGTCCTTTGATATGAGGTGTATTAGTATCACTTGTTTGATGCCAGATGGCATAATCGTGTAATGGAGTGTCGAATCGCTGTTCACATACTACTTCCAAAAAAAGCGAGAAATGGTGGCGTAGTTTTAAACTTTCATCAGTAATCCTACTTATATTGTTTGTGATAAAAATTGACTTTCAGTTATTCTAAAACTTATTTTCGCTCAGTAAACCTACTACCTGTACTAACCATCGATTGGACTGATGGATTTGTTTTTCCACTTTTTGTCTTATGTTATCTTCTAAATTCGATGATTTGACAAAGTGAAAGCGTAGAACGGTATTTATTCATACACCTGTGCAAAATTCCACTGTCTACGTTACCTACAAACTTGGAGCTCAACTGCTATTGTCACACTTCTTTTCTATGCAAAATTAATAACGTTTGTAAATCTGTGATAGTTATTAGGTTCTCCAGGAATTGCATGTCCTTATAGCAGACCAGGAAACAATAAGAGATTCCCAACAGTTACCTACCCTATACTCTTTCTACTCTTTTCAATACTTCGTGGAATTCAGGACACGCTGTTCGTCCTATTTGAGACTCCTCAGTGGTAAACTACCATTACCAGTAAATACTAATAACCGGTACCTGTTGCACAAAAGATGGCTCTCGTGCCTCATTGGCCCAGTGGATAACTCTTCGGCGTTTGAAATGATGGGTACTGGGTTTAAGTCTCAGTGGGAACAACATCACTCACTTGCGTGCTGATACATGTAGCTGGCGAGTGAGTCCCAAATAGAACAAAACACTTGAGTCCTGGATTCCACTGTTAGTCATCAAGTTCATATGATGAATGTTCAGGCGGAATCGAGGTTTCTGTATAGGAGACCATCTACCACCGGAGGTGGCACAATTTGAAACAGTATAGCAACGGGAAATTACACAAGTGTCGAAAATAAAGACGTGAATATTTAGTAGTTTATCAAATGTTTTTAATAAGCTAGTTATTAATACTGACGGTCAAGAGAATACTAACTATTTGTTTCTTCTTAAAAACATAGTTATATTACAGACAAGCCACTTGATAGTACGCAGTACATACTAAATTTCCATCTACGATAACAGACACAAACAGTTCCTATAATCACTTGAAATAATACAGGTTTTTGTTGATTTATACGTTCACAAGTTTTTGATAGCACAAAGGTAATTAATCAGTATATTAAAATTACTGATACATCTTGCTGAAGAGTGTCAGCAAGTGCAAAACCCGAGTTCAAGACTCCAACACGGTTTATCAAAATGCCAAATCACCTCAGTTGTTAGCCGTAATGTAAACTTAGGCGAAAGGATTCGGTTAACCTTTAAAAGTAGATAGGATGATACTACTAAGCGTATACTCTAAAATGAAAACAGAAATGAACTTTAAGACTTCATGATGGTGAACTTTTTTGATTCACTGGAAAGTTTCCAAATATGAGTAATAAGTTTAATTATAAACATTAAAGACTTTTAGGTCATACTAAGTCGAGTAATAAAGCACTAAAGGTAGGCCTACACTTCTATAAATAGTAAGTTATAAACGACTGAGTACTGAGTGCTTTAGACGCAATGATTATCGTCAACAGAAGAGGGAGAACTTTCTTCCGAAGATTTAAATATGTTACTTGACAAGAACACCCCAAGTAGTATAAATTAAGCAAAATTGGGACAACAGAGATAAATGTATGATGTGTGCCATTTGTTCATAAGTAGCTGTAGACCAGACATGACAAGTGGTGTTATACATTAAATGGTTCAGGTAATTTAAACACCTGACAGCTATTTCTTTGTTTTTCCCCCAGATTATCATCAGTGTACCTGAATGCATCCCACTCAGAAAGCCTAACTGTTCAATCCATTTTGTGCAGTTCTTCTCTTGACACTGTCTTTGGAGTTGAGCAAATTTCAAATTACAGTCCTAACACTTCAGTTTCTAGAGCGATTCACATTGTTTCGCATTATGGAGTTACACCTTAAAGTAATGTACTTACGCACTGAAAATCTTTCGAATACTTTCTTGAAAGTAGATATCGTTCATTTCCTTTTCCTATATTGATGTAAATATATCTTATCACTAAGAGTCTTCTGATTTGAGAAGACAAGAGGAATCACAGTGAATAGCTTGTAACGTGTAGATTGATGTACTAGACTGGGAGTTAAAACCATTCTGTGATAACACAAGAAAACTAACGACAGTCCGAACCCTGTGGGTATGTTAGAACCCGTGGCCTGGGGCTGTATTAATATAGTCTATGTTAAACGAGAATAGTTTTTTATTTATCCTCATATCAAAAAAGTTATTGAAAATGAATTATTCTATCCATAACCATGAGTTTTATGGGTTTTTGTTTTTCAGCTATATCCACATCTAGAACAGCAGCAATCAGAAGATATGATGCTCCAAGATCTATTTCTTCATCTCGCTCAGCAAGCTTCGTATTCGATGATCCAAAGCTTCAAGAAAGTACTCAGAGCAGTAGGAATAATCTAGTATCACACAAAAAAGATTCTTCTTTATGGGTTTCTGACTTATCTAATTATAAGAATCCTAGCCAAATGTGGAAAAATAATACTTATGAGACAGTAAGTTTATGTCGAATGCGGTTATGAATTATGCTACAAATGAATTGCATGATGATAACACAAATAACTACAATAGTGAAGAACATACTGACTTCTCAGTGTTAAATGCTCGTCTACATTATGAAGCCTCAAATCCCCTAGGGGGGAGAACTAATTTTACAACTCGACAATTAACGGAATTGGAAAAAGAATTCCACTTCAATCGTTATCTATCTCGAGCAAGGCGCATTGAAATCGCTTCTGACTTAGGACTTACAGAAACTCAAGTGAAAATATGGTTCCAGAATCGTCGAATGAAACAAAAAAAGCGTCTACGTGATAAGATCTTGGGAAACTCGAAAGAAAACGAAGACTTCTCATCATTGACAACTAGCCCTCCACCTTCAGCATCAACTGTTTCACGAAATATAATAACTACATGGAATGTAACGGATGCTCATGTTACAATGAACAGACGACTTGTACGAGAAATGACACATCTAGGTAACAGTCGTACCAGTCCCACTACTAATCCTGCAAGTAGTTATGACGATGGAAGTATTTATTGCAACAAACGTTTCATGAATGATAATACTCATGATTTATACAACCACTTAGTGGTTGATCCTATAAATATTTTTACAAACAACAATCACGTAAGTGCCACAAACTCTTCCACACCTTCAAACATTTGAGCACTGAAGTCTACGTAGACGGTTCATTTTGTTCGTAATCACTGATATGCAAAACATGAGAATTAGTCACTTCTTTCTCATATCCTTCATTTTTGTTCCTTTCTCTTTTTTGTGTGTTCCAGTTTGTCCAATAGCTGAAAAATATTTTATCGGTTTCAACAAAACTCTCATTCTAATTAGTCACATTCTAAATACCAAGAATCACAATCTAACCAATTAAAGACAAAGTGATACTATGATATTTATATTTTATAATTTAAGAAAATTATTAATGAAAAATAAGGATACCTGTGAAGTAAAACGCTTTGAGTTGTAAAGTAAGATACGAATTGGAAGTAAATTATAAATCTTGATTTTTCACAGTTGATAATGATCCAAGTTTAGTGATTGAAAGTTCAAATATTATTATTATTATTATTTCCCCTTGGGTTCCTAGTGGAACATAAGGCTTCAGTAGAACGCCTCCACTGCACTCTCTTCTCTGCAGTCTTCAAAATCTGGAGCCACCACTACCCACAAGCTCTCATTTCTTCCTCACATCATCTTCTCCATGTCACTCCCACCTCAGATGCCCAACTCGTCGTTTCCCCTTTGGATTCCACTCGACACTCTGGCCCGGCACATGATGTCCCCAATCGACCTTCTCAGTGAATATCCAATCCAATCCATCTCCACTTTCTTCCCATGCATATTTGTTGGATGACAGGTTCTGGCTTCGTTGTTTCGTTGCCAGCCAGCCAGCCAGCCAGCCAGCCAGCCAGCCAGCCAGCCAGCCAGCCAGCCAGCCAGCCAGCCAGCCAGCCAGCCAGCCAGCCAGCCAGCCAGCCAGCCAGCCAGCCAGCCAGCCAGCCAGCCAGCCAGCCAGCCAGCCAGCCAGCCAGCCAGCCAGCCAGCCAGCCAGTCAGCCAGCCAGCCAGCCAGAGTTTCTTGTTGCTTATTCTTGTCATTCTGGCCATCTGATCTGATCTTCAGTATCGAGTGATCGTAGACGGCAGCTATTCATGGATGTCTGTGGTTTGTTGGAAATGCATTTCGTGATGCGCCAAGTTTCGGAACCATCACATAGAAGCACTGACTTGACGGAACTAGTCTTGAAAATCCGGATGTTGTTCACGCTTTATGTTGAGTGCAGTGCAGTGCAGTGCAGTGCAGTAGAGTGGAGTGCAGTAGATCTCCACACTGATAACAGATTAGTGAAAGCCTGTCTTGCTTCTCCGATCCTGGTCCTGACATCCTCATCTGTGCCTGTGCCACCTGTAGTTGAAACGACGCTGTCTAGGCAGGCAGGTGAAAGAGACTACTTCCTTCAGCTTTCTCCCTTTCATGGTGATTGGTGCTTGTTGTTGATGTTGTTGTTCGTTTGGTATCTTCATCCCCTGTGTTTTCTCTACACTTATTTGAAGTTCCGTTTTCGCTGCCTCACCTCTTCTGTCAACTTGTTAGTTTTTGTCTGTAGATCTTCGAGTTTGTGCTACAAGATATTAGAAATAACTCATCATCGGCAGTGAAATCCAAACCTTCTTCTGGTGTCTTTTCATCGGAATTTCAAATGATCTCATAATTTTTGTCTAACTTGGAATCTAAGCACACTTTGTTGCACTTATAGTGATTAATTTTCGAAATAATGCAATTTTAAGTGACCATAAGAATAAAACCTGAACACTGTAGTAGAATATAATTTCACTTTAGCTGGTTGATTTGATGTTTCACACAGTGTTTGGATTACGATTGGAAAATAATTTACCGTCTATAGTTACATCAGGTTAAAACACAATCCAGTAGATAACATGGTTTCATTCGATGATACATCTAAGAAATTAAATGAAGTTGATTAGCTTCATGATGTTCGAATGTACTGCCGAAAGTAGCCTTTCAATTTCCCTCTATACTCAGAACTTACACAACTGTTTTATTTTTGATTGACGGTAGAAATTTGCGATAAAATATTTCTGTAAATTTATAAAGAGTGGACATTATTCACTGAGGTCACTTTTCCTATATTTTGTTGGAGTTTCTCTCACTATAGAAGTGAAAAACAATCTTTGTGAGTTAAGAGTACTATTAGGAGAGATAAATTTGTCTACCGAATAAGTTGCAGTAGTTGTGAAGTTAAATAAGTAGGTTAGTCAGTCGAGATCAGTCAGGATGTCTGAACATAAAAACTTAGTTAAAAGAAGATAAGTAAATCCCAATGTGTTAAGGAATCTAGAGAATAGATCAGTTATGTCTATGCAAGTAACTTTGCACACAAAATGGCATGGTGAAGAGTGACAGTCTGTTAACTGGTTGCAGAGAATCATCAGGAAGCCATCCTCGGCGTAGGTTTCGTACTTGTTTTCTCTCGTCAGCAAGGTATATCTGCAAACGCAAGGGAAATGTTGTCCCTTGTGAGATTCAAACATGTGTCACACAGTGTTGCAGTCGGTGACAATCTTTAAAAGTAACAGCTGGGTAGAAGGTGTTTATCGGATCAACAAGTTTGAGTCATCCAGTTCAGCGTTAATAATCCTAATAATAATCAATAATACTGTATAACTGCATGCTATATCAAGTAGACAATTTAATGTGGACTTACTTTTATCCGATTTCCCGAAGATTTATACAGTATTTTTTTAATTTTTAAATAAAAAGCAGAATACTCCCCCTTCTGATAACTTGCAGCAAAAATTTACAAGTGTATGGAATTCATTTTTATCGTCAGTAACAGCAGGGAAATGTAAATAAAGAAGTTACCTGAATTAGTGTGTCTTTTGAACTAAGGGTTCAACCAGATTGAGTACACTCACCAAATTCGGAAAAACTCTTCATTTCGGGTTGCATACTCACTTACGAAATGTAAACATAAATGATAAAACCTCGTCTAAACTTTACCAATTCGCTTAGTTGTGGTACAGGTGAAGTGTCTGAATGGTTTGTTATGGTCAAATTTACTCCTCCACAATGAACCCTACCCTATTGTGACTGCTAAGTGTTTTTATTAAGAGTTTATTATTTGCAAGGACTACAAATATTTCACCCTCGTAGCATCGTTATCATCAGCCGAAATTATTCTAAGGAAAAGGCAGAAATTGGGCATTCAATATTATGTGAACACGATGAATCAATAAGCAAACCTGTATGGTTTCACCACGTGGAGCGATTGATACATGAGTCTTACGTGTTTAGAAAACTTTTATCTCAAGGCATGCTTTCTTCTTGAATAGTAACATACTATAAAAACCCACACTATAACCAGATTGAATGGATTTACCAAAGTTATTAGGTTTTCAGTCATAGGTTTCTACATTATCTAAGATCTTGTCAGATGTGACAAAAATGTAATGGCAGGATCGTACTTCGTCTAATAAAATTTGACTATTTATTGGTATCACCAACCCCCATAAAATTAATGCGACCTAATAACATAACACATAGATATGTATACTGTTGACAGTTTGCACTGAAGTGTTAAAATATTCAAGCAGTTCACCAGTTTAATCCTGTTGTTTTCTTTAGTGCACTCTTTTTTGTCTAGACTATTAATTATACCTGCAACCAGTGAAAATCGAAGCATGTTACATGCGAAATTAAAATTACTTGCAAAAATCACTTACACTTACTCATTTTACCCAACTTCCCAAGTCTTATTTCAAGTAAGGTTTTAAATCAGAGGAAGCTTGGATAGCAAAACTAACACACAAACAACACTTCTGAAGACTGGACACTTCTGGTTTAAACTTAAAAACGATGTCTAGCAATTATGCTTTGAATGGATGAAGTGAACAGTTAACTTCTTAGTTATTCTACTGTTATTGAACAGAATTTTACTGTTACCAGACAGAGATGTTAAAAATATCAATTTTTAAAGAAAAATCTTTTCATTCATTTCCTACAATTCAGTTGTCTCTGATAGGAGTACCTTGAATGTGTTCACTCCAGTGTTGTACACTAACTGAATCATATAGATGTATATACTCCCTGGATTATGGAAAACTTTATCAAATTGTTTGCTTGAAGAGAGAAAGAAAACAGGAAGGTGATAGCGCTGCACATAACTGCATATACTAATGATGTGGTAGTTTTTTTTCCAGCTTACCTACTCGACTACTTAAACAAGGTAGTAACCATTTCTACAGTCAAACGAACATCAGAGTAAGAAAGTCTCAGAACCTGAAGGTTTAATGTGATGACCCAGACGTAGGAAAACTGATGTATCCTCTAATCAGAGAGTTGAAAAGATAGCCACTATCCCATATATATCACTTTAAAGAAGGATCAACCTCTTGACGATAATACATACTAGTTGGGACATGAAAATAATGCTTAATATTATCATCCAATAATGGAGACTTAAGTTTAGAATAAATCTAAGAGCCCTGAGAACGAAACATTCACATAACCTTCACCTTTGTATCAAAAGATGGGAAATGAAGAAAGAGACTTTTCGTTTCGTCAATTATCTTTAAAACAGTTAGTCCCTTTCATAAACTTCGACAGAACAATATGAAGAAGTAATTTGTCTGAGTAGTGTAATGTATTTGCGCAACACATTTCTGACCACATACGTTAGTCATAAGCACTTATGTGAAAATTCATAAACATACGGTCGGCGAGAAAATGAAAAGAGGTAAAGTAGGATGGCTGAATTAAAAACCAAAATAATCAAAATCAACAGAGAAAAACAACAGTACGATGAACTTGGTTTCGCAGCTGAATTCCCAGTGGTTAGGGCCTTGACAAATTTAAGGATCCATCCTCAAGAAGTTTTGTAAATAGCTGTAAATGATGTAGAAAAATCAATCGTGTGACCTGTCACAACAGTATTGTTTCGCGGTCAGAGTTTGAGTGTCCGCCAACCGCGTTTGTGCTTTTGAAGCCAATTTTAAATATACTGCGAGACCTTCACTTCCATACGTCTATGAGTCCTCCCCATATATGTGTCTTCAGATGCACATCTAAATTGGTAGATGGAATGGGATGCAACATTATCGTTCACGTGTGCCAAGTGTCTACGAGAGTAAGCAGACATAGTGGTTTCTGTTAATCGGACTCTAGCTGCATTGTAAGTCCTTCAAAAAGCAACATTTATTAGTTGTTTAAGAAATACTTGAAGAGAGTCACCTTTGTATGAAAAACTTTTTTCTTCAGAACGAAGTGAAGGGCATGTTTCGGCGTACTGACTTCTTTGTTCCAACTAGTAAATTTTGATAGATTACTATTTTCCAGCGCAGTTTCAGAGGAAGTTCTTTTCTCGTCTTTTATAGTATCGTCTGTGTGTATTCATTGAATTCTACTGAACAAGTAAGCGACCAACACTCCGTTGTTTTGAAATCAATGAAAGTCACAGAAATTCAAATATTGCCCTGTTCATGTAGTTTTCTGTAGGCAGGTTGTTTCATAGATCCTTCCTGCTGTCGACTAATTAGTATGTCTAAGAAATTATCACTAAAAAGATTAAACTGAAATATTTATATCCACAATTCTTTCGGATCAATAATTATTCCATACTTCCACACAGTTTTTATTATCAATGATCAATACCTCACTAATGGAAACAAACGGCTTTTGCGATACAACTGTAGTAGTGAAACATTGCTCGAGTGCAAAAATTGAAGTACACCGAGGAATAAGCCTATTATCCAACAAAGATAGTTCATCACGAAGTTATCTTCTTGTTTCTTTTAGCACATAAGAAGATTCTGGTTTAATTAAGTGTCCCTTCGAAAGTTTGATGTAGTCAAAACCAAGAACTCAAGTCGTTCGTTGAGTATGTTACAGCTATGCGATTCAACAGAGAGCATTTTAAATTTTACACAACTAATGCTGCAGCACAGATATTTCATAGTGTTGGATGAAGTTACTTTTTTCAGACGAACCTGTGTTTTAATAGGGAACAGATCCTCAGCAAACATAGATCAAATACCCCTCCACTGAATTGTATTTGATTAAATATGTGTTTGCCGATTTCTGAATAAAAGATAGAACTTGGCAACCATTTATAGTAACAAAAACAACCAAACAACTCTTCCCTAAATCAAAATGGAAATTTCTACGCTACAAAGAAACTTTCTGAAGTGAAGCTTAAACAAACTAATCCCTAGAAATGGAGTTTATCTATTTTCAGATTATTGTGCTAGGATCATCTGGAAACTTGTGAACTGAAAGAAGTAGAAATTAGTAGATGACTGAACTGTAAACTATTAATGGAGTGGTAACATGCCCACCATGAGACCTGAAGATCCTAAGTTCAATCCCTCACGGAGTTATGATTGTGCATTGATGAAAAGTTTCAAACTAGAACGAAACATCTATCGAGTATTCTTAAACTTTTAATTGTCCTCCAGCTGATACCATTCTGTGATGTAAACTACTTTCAAACCAATTAATCCCTATAGACTACCAGCCAAAGAAAATTTTCAATTGAAGTTTTTCTTTTGCAAATCCAAGTACTTGAACAACTTTACACTTTATATGTAATTTTGAGCTGAAACTTATGACAAGTGATCTACAAATTACAGCGAACCGATCATTTATTCTGATTCATGATTTTACTGTTGTTTAGGATTAAATTATGCAGAAATTCAAGCAAACAAAAGGACAGAACTTGAAATAAACTGTAGATTTTATAAACATATTACTAATGAAAGGCATTTTCTGGAAAAAAAAGTAACGCCGAAACAGCATATTATTTAAACCAATTATTCACCGCATCTAACTTTTAAACAAGAAAAAAAATCAAGTATAAATGATTCTGTGTAGTGAGAAGAATCCCTTGCACCAAATGACGCTTATTTTCCAACTCTTGATCGACATCTATTGTATACTTTTATCATTAAGTTTATCGTGAGAACAAGGAATTCTCACTAAAGTCCCATAAATTTACTTGCCATTAAGTATTAAGTGACTGAGATAGATAACACACTGCGTAATGTCAGAATCGAAGATTCATTCTATCATATAAATTCATATCCACTTGATTCAGTTTTCTCAAGCTATACCCATCAGTACAGAATATATAGACGCCAATGGGTGGAACCAAACAATGAATTTGAAAATTTCCGTGAAATTTAAAGTGACTACTTGTATAATGGACAAGTAACAAAAATTGACTATCATCATTGCATGTGTTTTTGGTTATTATAGCTTAACTAAGTATCCCAATGGTGAAGGTGATTTCTAACCGGTTCGTTGGAATCATATGATGGTTGTGTCAATTCAGCTTCTGTGACATATGAGCGATTTGTTTGAATTGCTTGTCTAAATAGTTGTTTATAAAAGCTATGGGACCACAGTCTTAGTTAACGAGAGAATATGGAAGTATATTCAGATTTGTAATTTCCTATTGCTATACTGGGTCAGATTGTTCAACCCTTGTTGGTAGATGTCCTGCATGCAAATGCCTCGATACTGCCTGAATATTCATTGTATCTATTTGATAGTTAGCTTTCGAATCCAGGAAAGGTCTTTCGTCCTGTTCGGATCTCACTCATCCGCTGGATGTACCTGCATCCCAGTTAGCTATCTTGTTCACACTGAGACTCGGACCCAGCACCCACTGCTTCAAATGCCAAAGGATTATTTACCACCCTAATGAAGCACTACGGCCACCTCTCGTTCAATGGATATTAGTTGTTGATTATTGATACTTTTAATTTTCTGCTGCTATACTGGGTCGGTGGATAGTGGGTTCGACTCCCAGTGGGACCACCATAACTCATTAGGGTGTGGATATATCCAGTTGATGA